GTGTGTGTGTGTGTGTGTGTGTGTGTGTGTGTGTGTGTGTGTGTGTGCATGTTGTGTATTTACAGAGAGAGAGCACAAAAAAGGCCACCTATTTGTTCCGAGAAGATAGCGGTGGTCTTGATGAGTTTATTTAGTTATTGGCCCGAGGGAGATGTGAGATCAGTGTTTGCAGCCATTGGCGTCGTCACTGTTTATCTCGGTTACGTGTGTGTGTGTGTGTGTGTGTGTGTGTGTGTGTGTGAGAGAGACAACTTACTTTCATTTTTGGTGATGCAGCTGTAGAGGGAGTTCTAAAAGGAGACGAGAGAAGCTGGTGGTGATTAATCTTAACACAGTATGAGACAAAAAAACAAAACAAAACTACTAAAGCTGTGTCTGTGGTTTACAAGTGACGGTTTAAATCAATGGCCTCAGAATGGATGTGAGTCACCAGCAGTTAGACAGAAGAGTGGTTTCTCCTCCTCAGATTCATAGAGGCCTGAAGATGTAAAGAATACCCTACAGTACAGGAAACGACTGCTAAATGGTCCACACCCCAGGTTGGAAACTCTGTTTTTATTAATATTAAGATCCCCTTTTTTAATGGCTGTCTTTTTGTATTGATATGTAATTTTGTAGAGGTATGGTGACTCTTCTTTATCCCTTTATCATTTTTTTCCAATCTATGTAGCTTTCTTTTAAACAATGATGCTAATTTAGTTTTCACTTTAAAAAGAATATTTAAAATAGTACTTATACCATACAAGTGACTGTTAGTATGTTACAGAGTTTCACAGTAGTATCAGTTATACACTAGTGGAATGTGCAGTAGAAGTACAGTAGCAATTGTGGCAGTATTACTACTTAATTTAGAGAACTTGAGTCTATATATCATTCTGCTCTTTCATGCATGATCACAATACGCAATTCATTTTATTGGACTTACCTCTGTGACTTTTTTGCATACTTTAGTTATGTCATTTTTAGATGATGCCTATAAGGGAAAAAGGGAAACAGAGTCACTAAAACAACAGCGGAGGTGGAGCACCAGGTCTGAGCGAGACGAATGTCCAGACACTTCTTCTCACAAAGAAAGTTGGCCACACTGTATTCACGATATCTCACCTGTCTGCATTCCCTGCGACACTCAGCTGAGATGGCCAGCTCGCAGCAGCCCAGCCCCACCCAGCCGTCCGACTTCCTGGATACTCCTGGAGACAAATCAAGCGCCACAGAATCAACAATATGTCATGTGAATCTGTTTTATGGAGCTTGTGCAGTTTGTGGAGACTGATTTATTCATTGGACAACACTGACCTTTAGCAAAAGCTTGATATACAGTACACTGAACAAATAAACGTAACCCTTTTTTTGATGTTGAAATAAAAGATCTAACATTTTTCTACCCAAGTGGATGTTTTCCCTCAAATTCTGTTTACAAATTTGTGAAAATCCGTGTTAGTGAGCACATTGCCAAGATAATCCAAGTTTTGAGGGAGCGGGTCTCTGGCATGCTGCCTGCAGGATCGCCACCAGGCGGTACATTCCACCGGCCTCACGACCGCAGACCACGAGTACCCGCACCAGCCCGGGACCTCCACATCGTCTCCACATCGAGACCAGCCAGCTGATGAAAAAAGTGTCTCAGAGACGCTCACCTCTGGTGGACAGTCCTGCAGTCAGCATGCTAAATGACACGCTCCCTCAAAACTGTGTGATAAAACTGCACATTTTAGAGTGGTCTTTTATTGTGACCAGTCTGTGTAACTATCATGCGCTTCGATAAGTATCTCGATCTGCCACACCTGTCAGATTGGTGACCAAAATGTGAGAGAAATAAACCTTTTATGGGCAAAGAAAAATCTTAAGTTTTGGAGCAAAAACAAAAGTGTTGCGTTTTATATTTTTGTTCAGTGTATGTGTGTATTCTGTCTGTCTGTTACCAGTATATAATACAAATTGTCCTGGCAGATTTAAATTCACTTTGTTGAGGAGTTGGGCCAAGTGATTTGGCTTTGGTGGAGTAAAACAGGTTTCCGTGGTGATTGGAGTCTTTCTTGCTTCTGCTGCGATTGACCGATCTTCAGCGCCGCCCCTTTATGGCAACGCACCAATCACAACTAAGCGCGCACTCGGACAGCCACTTGGTCTCATCGTTCTCTCCCCTCTCGTGCCTACGTTTCTGCTCTTGGCAACAAAGGCACTTGAAAGATGAGTTGTTTGCTCTCTCTCCAAACGTAAAAGTCTGTCAGTGAGCTCAGCATCAGTACCACAGCCAGTGTTCAAAGTAGCATTAAAAGATGGCTTCTGTTTGTAAACCTGACAGCCCGCATGCAGTTAGTCATTTTAAACTGCACTTGGTGACTAAATGGTTTCGGTTGCCATATTGACCGAAAGTTGACCGACACAGCAACAGAAATGGTGATTTGGTTGGTCAATTACTGCTGCTACAGTGACCCGATTTACCCATGGAGATCAATAGATTTATTCTTTTTTTTAAAATTTGAATTAAATGTGACACACTTTTACTGATGAGAAACAGGACTATGAACAAAAGACATGCCAGATTAGAGGCAACACCTCACGGGATGAACTGCAGAGAAGAGGCAGCACATCATGAATATTTAACTCCGGTGATGATTGTTCACAAGCATTTCCTCCAGTGCAGATATCTGTCTCCTCATCGCGCTCGAGACGTCACTTGAGGATGCGCCAACACGTTGCACTTAAAAGACACTTTAGAGCTTTACAAAATGCTCTACGTATATTCTTTACTGGTGTCGTAAAACATAAAGGTTACCTGAAACGGCAATGATGCATTCTAATAATGGCTTCGTCTATTTAAGAACTCAAAAAACATCACTATAAAAAATCATTAGCCTGCTTATACAATTGTCCAAAAGGTTTTCCTGTGGTGCACCAGAAATACACCGAGCCATTTGAATGCACCGCTACACCCTCTACTCTTTATTGTGCTCCAAGCTGAGCTCCAACAAGTTCCACAACATTTAGCAAGGCATTCTGAGAAATGAAGGGATGCGGTGCACATCAGAGAATTGACGATATCTCAGGAGCCCGATGGGATCTGAGGGAGTCCCGAGGCTGTCTGGACGCCAGTGTTTAATGAGTGCAAAAAAAAAAAAGAAAAGGATAACAATACCTCCCGATCTGGAGGCCATTAGGCGTCTGACAGGTACATTTGTTTCCGAGCACAGGCAGCAGGACCTAGGCCTTTGATCCGGGGCCTGCTTTCTGCTCTGGTCGGATCCAGCTCCGCTCACAGCTGTAACAGCTTCACTCGCTACCATTACTTCTCATGCAACCAGATACACACAGTAGATACTGCCCGGCTGAATGTTATGTTTCGTGTCATTCCTAGAGTCAAGGTGTCTCCTTTTGATTTATTGTAAGCACAGTAAGTTTAGACATATAGATAGGATGAGTACTCAGTCTAAAGACCCAACCCCCTTGTCGTCGTCGTCTATGATTGTACATAATATTTTCACAATAACACGGCACTCTGGAATGACGTGCAAGCTTCTGGCCACAAGTCACAATCTATTAACTGTTAACCTGTTTGTATTATTTCAAAAACAGCACCATCAAAGCAGAATTTAAAGAAATGGTTGATGAATAAACCAGATGTGTAATATAGCCTAGGCTTGCATTCCTCTGGTTTTGTCACAACGCTATGAATTTAGTGGAGACACGCCTCAAAGTCCGTGTGTCCGTTATCGTGGACATTGGGATTGGTTTTCAAGTGCGTTTATTAGACAATTAAAACCACCATGTGCCTAACTAAATCATTTTTTTCTCACAACTACAAAATATATATAAAAAAATACAAAAATCTGTTAAAATAAATCTTACGTTATTGTACAATTTAAAGCCCTATGATCTGATTGTCATGCTTAACGCAGCATTTGTCACGGGGCATGATGGAGGACTCAAGCGCAGACAGTCAGATGCAGTGAGAAAAGGGTTTTAATGAATCACGAACACAACAGGGAATCCAAGGACGAGACAAGAGGGGGGTATCCGGCAGGACGAGGCAGGGCAGGCAGACTGGGAAACCGGGAACAGGACGAGCAAAAACGGGCGGGTAGGTATGAACAGTGACCTGGCAGTGAGTGACTGAGAGGCAGGGGTTTATAAAGTGGCTTGAACAGGTGAGGGGAGTTGTGCTGATGAGGAGGGAGTGCTTGATTAGAGGCAGGTGAAGGGAGTTAGGCTGATGCTGAGGGAGTGACTGACAGGTAGAGTGAGGAGGGTGGAGCTACACAAAGACACACAGAACACACAAGGCAAAGCCTGATCGTGACAGCATTCATCTTTTATTTTTTCTGCCACTTAGCAGAAGCCCATAACAAGCTGAACATCACACACACGTTGGACCGTGACTAGGGCTGGGTGTGGTTTTAAAAAAACCACGATACCAGTACCAATACTACTCCCCTTAAAGTGGTGACGGATACCAACGCTGCGAGTGAAACCGTTTTAAAATGCTACACATACACGGTTTAATATCAAAATTCCTCTCTCACCTGGGAGTGAAGAGTTGATGCACGTCCAAAGTTCATTCTAGAAAGCAAAGGAGAAGAAAGGGTTAATGTCAGACGACTTGAGGTTTAATAAAACACATCCGAATACAACATAACTTGACACACTGGCCCTTTAATGAACTGATGAAGGACACAGAGTTGGATGCATAGGCGTCTTTAGGTGAGATCAGGGAAAAAATCCTGATGCACATAAGTATTATCAAAACAATATCTTCCAGTGAAGACAAATACTGAACGATCGACTGAGACGTAAATGTTGTTTTTCTCTGATTTCACAGAGAAACGGCCGTGACATTCCCTGCATCAAAACAATGGAGAACAACAGGAAAACATATGAATCCTATGAAAGTCCCGTTGGGTTTGTGGTGAGATGTCGTGGGAGTAATCCTCACGAACGAGCTCGTCTGGGACAGAGAGACAGGCGCAGATAGGGACAGCAGCACGGGCAAACATGGAAAAAGAAGTGTGGTAGGTAGAGAGAGAGAGAGAGGAAAAAAGCTCTTTCATGCCCTTATGCTTTCACAGATCATTTTGTGTGAAGTCAGCGCGTCACTGGTAACACTCCCTCCGTGTGTCTCTTGGCTGGGGAACAAAGGTTCCCGTCAGCGGGCGTCAGCCTCATTTATGAGGCGGTGCAGGGGAGTAACGGTGTCTTTACATGAGGCATAAACATGATTTGTGATGTAGCAGGGGCCAATGAGGCAACAACATGACAGGAAGAATAATGCTGCCGTTTACATGAGCAGAAGCAGAGATCCCTCCAGTCTACCCAGAGAGCCTTTGTGTGTACGTGTACGATGAAAGCTTTCTTTTTGTTACAGTCTGATATGACCTACATAAGGCCAACTAAGCAGTGTTTCTTTCACAGTCTCCATTTTCAGCTCAAAAAACCTAAAATGAACTAGCGTATCTTATATACACTATTAAAAAAGCAGACGTAGCCATCGTGACGTCACCCATTGGTTTGTGGACCCAACGTTATGAAGCCTCGATTTCGCTATCGCCATCTTGGATTACGGCCGTCGCCATGTTGGTTTTTTTTCTAGCCAATGAAGAGAAGTGACCATATTTAGAATGCGGAGGAGTTATGCAGAGACGCCGTATACGTCTCTGGTAGAGACCTGTCAATCACCGTGTAGCCCCGCCCTAAAGCATCCCCTGCTTTATGGTCTGTGTGACTCTAAATGGACCATAATGTACTAAATGAACATCATGCTGTATTGAAGAAGACTTGAAACTAGAGATTGAGACCATAAACTCATGTTTACAATGTTTACTGAGGTAATAAATCAAGAGAGAAGTAGAGTCATTTTCTCATAGACTTCTATACAACCAGAGGAGTCGCCCCCTGGTGGACACTAGAGAGAATGCATTGGCTTCACTCGGCAGAACCAGAGGTTGCCACCTGGTCAGTTCGTGCTTAGGTCACATGATGACAACTGAACCATCTCGATGGCAACTGAAGTTGTCGATAGCTGTTTTTAGTGTCAAGAATGAACTTTCATGCTCTTTATTTTCATGTTTTCTAAACTTGTTTATGTAACAGCAGCGATGTGTTGTGTTCTTTGCCTTTGTTTACCTCTCTGCTCTTCTCGGTGAGCTGGAATTTGTTTTTTTACTTATAAAATTGTATATTTCTTTTTAATGTTCAGTATCAAAACATATCCAGTATTCATGACAAAGGGCCAGATTTACTAAGAAAATGGCACAAATGTTTTTATTGAGTTAATCAGGCTCAAAGAATGGCAACAAAACCAACATCTCTGGTACTGTGACAGCACTAAGACCTAAATCTAAATGCTACCAGTTACATGTTTAGAAGTAACATTTCAATCCCAATACAGCTGTAATAATACACACACGTGCATCACGTTTGTACGGTAAATGCAGGTCAATAGCTTACAGTGTTTGGGCATCGGTTTGGCTGAATAAGAACTGGACACATGTTCATTTCAGACTGCCTCGGTCTAATTACTGGTGTGGCTCATGGAGAGAGAGGGGGACAAGCAGCAAACCAGCCTCTCTGCTTAGTAATTACCCATGGTGGGAGGAAGCTCTGAGCCTGTGTGTGTGTGTGTGGTTTAACCAGGTGCTCCAGTAGTCGAGTAATCACAACCACCGACCCACTTCCTGTCTAAAGTTAGTCTAGAAGATCTCCGTTTAGTTCTCTTTGGCAGCACCTACGGCAATCAGCATTGCAGGTGTGCTTTGGATCTCACTTACCAGAGATCATTTCCCAAATCATTTGGTAATTATAAAAAAAAGACCTAAAATAGTAAATAAAATGTAATAATGTTTGCAGCAATAAACTTGTATTAATGGTAGAATGTGATTGTTTGCCATCAGCTACGATAGAATATATTATTTAAAACCCACACAAAAGATAAAATAACATAAATTACAGCATTGCTAATGATTAGTAAACATCATCATCATTTTATCGACACTTCTTTTTAATTATTTAGTTTAGTTGAATGCAATTTTTTTTGTTCCAATTGGATTTTAAAGACACTTTTTACAGTGCAGTATTGAGCAAGAAGGGGTGAATGATTACATCCCAACCCAAATAATCAAACAGCTGATCAATAAATACAGCAAGCATCATTGTAATAGAGGAAGTGTACTCACCATCAACTCCGGACAGTAACTGGGTAACCTCTGGAGCAGATGCTTTAGACGAGACTCACTCTTTATAGTGGCGAGCTGCAACATGGGAGAACAACACTGACTTAATAAAAACACCTTCTAAATCCATGTACATGTGCTTTGTAGAAACCAAACCAATCATTTACTAGTTCAACCACCTTGCATCTTAAAGGGCACTCCGTCTTCTCAGAGAGCCAAAGCTCAACACACTCTGACATCATATATAGTCGTGAAAATATTCAGCTTATTTTACATGTTGGTAGTGTTTCTTGTCTGGAGCTGCCTGTTGGTCCTTCAAAGACATATTGCAGCTTTACTAGGAGTCTAAAGTGGCTGAAGAACTTACAGCAGGGCCGGTTGATGAAGTTTCAAACACCTTTCAAACACAGCTGCAATACAAGGTTTCATGGCAAGCAAATGCATTAGACGACCACAATGAAGAGTCAAATACAATGGCACAAATGAGACGGAATGGAGTGATACACCGATAGTTGTATTGCTGTCAAGAATGCAGATATTTGGTGTTATTTGTTAAAAGAGTTGGATGGATCATCAAAGTTATTAGGGCCCGAGCAACCGACGTCGGGCCTGCGAAGGCCCTATTGATATTGTAAGGGGTATTCTTTATGATTTTTATTTTTCTGGGGATGGAGCTTGTAGGGGTACTTGCCATGCATGAAAACTCACCAATTTTGCACACCTGTCACGTCTGGTGGAGAAACTCTGCTGCCAAAATTTGCATATTTGTGTGTAAAAAAATGGCTCTCTAGCGCCCCCTACAAATCGGACCGGCGACGCCCCTCGGCCAGTATGTCCAATTTACTTGAAATTCATCACAGATGTCCCAAAGCGCTAGATCTAAAAAAAAGCCTCTCAGACCCCTAAGCTCCGCCTACTTAGATTTTCCGCCATATTGAATTTAGTGAAAAACACATTTTTGCAAGCTCCTCCTACATGCTGCGTCCGATTGCTACTTAATTTGCTGTGGATCATTATTGGATCTAGATCATCAAAAGCTAACGAAAGCTTTTTGATATCTCTTAGTGTTTACAAAATATGGACCAATAAACTTCTTAGGGGCGTGGCTTAATATCAATACACATAAATTCTCAACCGTTTGTCCTACAATTACCAAATTTGCAGCATATGTGCACATCGCATGCTGTAACATACCCTGAGATTTGTTTTGCATTCAACCACTAAGGGGCGCTACAGCAAACCCGCGAAGTTGTGCTTTTTGTCACTTTTTACAGATTTCATCCTTCGTATTTGAACGAACTCCTAGAGAATTTATGCGATCAACTTCTCCTTTGGTCAGGATGCTCTTAAGACCTTTGTGATCAAAATCGTGCGCTTTCATCGAAGAACCTTGACGTGGCGGCCATTTTGCCTCATTGTTTATGAAAATATCAGTTGTTATAACTCAAAGGTACATTATCCAATCTGCACAAAACTTCTTATGCATGATGCTACTTCAAGTTTGAACATACTTCAATTGAAAAAACCTCCAACTCATAGCACCGCCTACTGGCTAAAGGAAATGTCAAATTTTATACTTTTATTTATTCCTCCTAGCCAGGTGATCTGACGAGTCTCAAATTTGGTAAGGATAGCCTTAAGACATTGATGATAAATCGCCGAGAATATTGTGCGTTTTCATTGAACGCTGTTGCCATGGCGACGCATCGTTCGCCATGAAAAGCGAAGCTGATGGTTTTACTAACTTGGGATGCTCAAAAACGCATGCAACTTTTTACATGTGTCAAAGGTCATTGGACGAAATATTGTATATGATTTTTTTAATCATCCGTTTTAAATTGCCTCTATAGCGCCCCCTACAATATTTCAAAAGAGCAGCTCCAGCGCTACGTTTCAGCTACATGTATGAAAGTTGGTAGGCAGATGTATCCTGTGGAGACTTACAAATAAGTCTCTTGGGACCATGCTCTAAACCTGACCGGAAGTCGGCCATTTTGATTTATGTGTCATTTTTCCATCGATTTTGGCCTATTTCTAGTCGCTATACTTTAACGAACTCCTCCTAGGGACTTCATCAGATCCTGTTTAAATTTTGTCAGTACAATCTCAAGACAGTTGTAATTAAAAGTTATCAAAAGCTTTACGTTTGACGGAACCGTAGCGGGCGGCTACTTTACGTGATTCCCCATGAAAAAAGCTGATGTAATTCAGCTGGACATGTTCCAAACAGTCTCAGACTTCACATGCTCGATAACACTCATGGCCTGAGGATGTCTACAAGCTTATTTTCACTAGTACTCACAGCGCCACCTGCTGGCGAAAGGAAATCTGCATTTTGTGATAAACACCTCCGATTTACATGACTTTTACACAATGTGGTTTACATTTGACACAGAGCTACATGATGCATGTGTTCTAGCGCCAGGCAGCGGATACAGGAAGCATCGGACTATTTGCAAAGCATCATTTCCAGCATCAGGCGGTCCACGAGGGATTAAATCCGTCTCACTTGCGGACGCGACGTTCTTGGCCGCGCAGGCCGGAGTCCCGCCGGCACCCCCGACGAGCTGCAGATTGCGAGGGCCCGTTCATCGCTGCTCGCAGCTTTAATTACAATTCATCCTGAGGGGAAAGTGAATAATGCTTTAGTTGAGCTGTCGATCAAGAGCTTTTCAAATGAAGCAGTAGTCAAAAAGTTCTGGACAAAATTGAATGAAAGTCAAAAATGTCAGTGACTGCATTGTCAGGCTGACCCAGCAACGGGAAGTTGGTGAGTGCTGTGAATCCGGATCAAGCTCAAATTGCCGGGCGGACAGCTGGACGAGAAGAGGCGGACTCTGCGTTTACATCAATGATGCTTTTTGCTCAAAAGTAGTCAAAGGTGATGGACAGAGCTCCGTGCTGAAAGAAAGTTGATTGCAGTGGCTAAAACCAACGTGGAGCCGGAGCTGGAGAGCTATCTGGAAATTGAGCGAGCTCAAGCTCAGAAGCTACAGAATGAATTGAGCAAAATGCCAGATCACAAAATAGCAGCAGAAGAAGAAGTGGTACAAAAGGCTGTTCTAATGCCCGGCTCCACAGTCCGATGGCCAGGACAAGAACAATGAATTTGTTCCGGTTTACTTGTGAGGATTAAGCAGTTTTAACCTCTAAACAGTACTTTGAAAAAGGGTGCAAAGTGTGCAGAGTCGGCATGTTTTCACATCGAACTCGGTTAATTAAGGATTTATTCAGACCAGAGACGGTGATTTAATACGCTTTATTTCGTTTCTGTAGAGTTTGTATGAAGTGCGCTTTACGACGAGTTAACAAGGCAGTTAATTCAGTCGTAGAAGACTTCAACATTCAGAAGGTGTATGTTTGTATTCTCCCTTTAAAGGAGCAGTGTGTAGGATCTGCCACCAACTGGTGGCACATTTGCAGATAGCAATCGGCTGAAACTACAGTGGCTGACGAGAAAGCAGAAAAACGCATGAACCAAGTCAGTGTTTGGTTTGATGTTTGTCCGTTCTGGGCTACCGTAGAACATGGCGGCAGCTCCCTAAAGACAACCTGCTCTTTATAGGTAGATATAAACGTCTCCTTCTGAGCCAACAATAACAACAATTCTTATTTTCAGGTGATCTTACACTACAGACAACAAACTTATTCATATTAAATTCAATTTCTGCCAGTAGATCCCCCTAAAAGCTACGCACTGTTCCTTTAAGGAAAGAGGGGCTTGTGGATCTCGCCATTGGAACACTCCCCGACTCTATTACTGAGTTATTGGAACTGATTAAGACCCCGACATACTGTATATTATGCTGACTTTGATCCAGGAGACAGTAGAAATGTACTTGTTGCACCTTTGGCCGTGCATAATCTTTCCCCACACAGAGGAATGTGTCCGGGCCATGGGAAAGTGTTGCATTATGAAGTCAGTCGCAACACTTCTGAGATATGCTCTCTGAGACAGCAATAAGGCATCCAAGTTTGTGGCGTGTGTCTCCACACGCACACACACACTCAGCCATAACACATCCAAGTGTTGTGTGAACATACAAAGGCGAGAGCCTGGGAGAACGCAGCCGCTGCCAGCAGTCTCTGGCTGAAGTGTGAAGTCAGTGGGTGAGATTTACAGCTCCACACACTCAGACTGCTGGAGGACCGGAGGTCTCTTCCCTTTCCACTGCTCTGAGACGTCACAGTGATTCCAACACTGACTGAGGCAAAGAATACCAAAAGATGCTTGATGGTCGGCAGTCACAGCGTTTTATAAAACAAAAGTGATCTCCGTCCTAATAATAATAGCTTGCCCCCGGCACATGTAGGCAGTAGTAGCATTGTAAAATACAGAATTTAACTGCACAACGGCTGTTAGCGTGAACAAGGTCAGCGGCGCCGTTAATTCGTTATCCACGTTGAAATTAACCACAGGTAGTCGGGGCTGATGTTGTTTGTTGGTTTTCTTCTGGAAAAGGATCACGTGATAGGGGTCATGATGAGTGATGAGACCCAACCAAGCAGCAAACATGGGTGTCCGTCATGGTTTTTGCCCGTCCGCACAAAAACAAACCCCGGCGTTTTCAAACTAAAACGACGTCACCGGCGGTTTCAAACGTCTCTGTTTTAGGGGGTTCGAAAACGCAGCAGTAGTCTGGACACTAGACACAAATGCAGTTTATTAAACCAAAAACGTGGTAGTGTGGATGTAACCTATAAGCTTGATGTGTTCGACGTGATGTTTAATGTCCCCGACAACTTACGTAGTCTCATATAGCCACTTGTTAGCAACCGCCTATTTAGGACGCTATCGAGTTTTAAGAAAGAGGTGTTTACTGAAGTATTTCACAACAAAACGTTAAAAGCTTTTACGCTTGTGTTAACCACAGACCTTATTTCAGGCATCTAACTAAAACACTTTCACAGAACCCATTGACTTCCAGAGGAGGTAACTGGAAGTGTAAAAATGCTGACTCATTCCTGCAACACTGCTGCATGTATCAGCTAAAGAGACAGATGTGTGGTGGAGGCCAATCATACCAATCGTCTAAATGCACATTGAAGTGTTGGTTGTATGTGTTGAACATTCCCAATTTGCCCTATTTCCGTTAAGTGTTACAATTGTATATCCCCACTGGATTACTAAAGCACCTTCTAATCTTTCACTTGGGTAAAAAGAAGAACAGCTGAAGCATGGAGTTCTGCTTTTGTACGCCGCTGTCCATTTTAATCATTTATGGGAGCGGCTCCTTCATGCCAGGCTCCAGGTGCTCGTAATGTGTTTGTAATCAGGTGTTCTTGGACTGGTCTTTGTTGGAAGCAACTGCATCGGAGGAAAGCAATCCAGACCGACAGTGACTTCATCCACTGCTTATTCCAAGTGCCCTGGCATCTCCGCCGAAGTGACAGAAAAACACACCGCCAAGCCGAGCGACAGTGATTTGTTGGCAGACAATCAAAGAAGAACTTTCTCTCTCTGAAAAGACCAACTCTGAAAACCGACGGGCCGTTTGTAAGACTCCCTCTGCGTGTATGAAAGGTGAATAAGTGCCGGCTGGCAGACTGATGGGCTCTTTCTCTGGTGCCGGGCTCATCGAGCGGTGGGCGGCTAAGAGAAAAAAAGCAGCGGTTTTCAAATTATGCGTCATCGAGGCCTGAGAGTTGGCGTTTTTCTCTTATTCCATGAAATGCTGCAGCTCCTTCAAAATCATTGTCATGTCTTGCTTCCTAACTGCTGGGTAAAGTGAAGGTTTAGCATCAACTTTGGCCCCGGAGGCAAAACAAACCGAAAGTGAGCCATTATCTCCATTTATACAACTTAGGCTGTTATACGTGGAGACCACAAATCCACGCAGAAGACACTCTTTGGGTTGTTTGAGGTGATAATATTAAATCACATTCCTGGTAATACTTCAGTAGCCAGGTGCTGACATTTCAGAGAGTCAAGTCTACTTTCTTTTATTTGAAATGTTCCAAACCAGCAGTATCAAAAACAGCTTGGAAGCACATCTGTATTTCTCAAACAGCCGTTGGGTTCTATGTATGACCACCCGCACCTTTTGAAGAACGGCTCGTTTTCTGGGTGTAACCAGGCGCAAGGCGGCTTCCATTAGAGCTAAAAATGGTCCTGGTGGTTACATCGACACTCGACCCCACCCGTGACACCCGAAGAAACCCACCCACACACACACACACACACACACACACACACACGAGACCTTAAGCACAACCTCTGAGGGGTGTTCTGAGGCCATTACACTTCTGAAAGTCCATTATCTATTCTGCTCCATCTCTTTCATCGTTATCACCCCCCCACCACTTTTTCCTCTCTTTTGAGACATCCATCTCCATCTTTTCATCTAATGTCTTCTTCAATCAGTTTCCTCTCTCTTTCTTTGGCTGGCAAAGCGCTGGTGTCGGCCATTAAGAGCACAGCGAGTTCTGTCCAGCCTCCCTCTTCACTTCAAAAGCACGAGGAAGGTTTGAACTCTCTGCCCGTTTGCTGCTCGCAGAGAAAAAGCTTCCTTTACGACCGTAAAGACAGACGTGGAGAGAGAGAGAGGGAGGGGGAGAGCGTCACCTGCTCCCAATTGAAACTGGGTGAGACTTTTTTTCTTCACTTCAAAGAACCACAAGACAAAAAAAAAAAAGTTTACCCCCACTCCCCTTCAAAAACCTCTATTCATAGGCTGACTATAATGGGCCGAGGAGGGGGCTTGTGTGTGTGTGTGTGTCTGTGTGTGAGAGAGAGTGTGTGTTTTTTACCTGGTCACAAGCTTCTTTGCAAGGTGAGAACTCGGCAGCATGTTGGCAACAGGAGGGATCTGCAGACAGATGGGTGAGTTAGTTGTGATACTGCCGTCAGGTCATTACAGGTTACAGCGTTACCTTTGGTGGAGATACATGTCATGTCCTGACACACTAGGACAGGGGGCGCTGGCTGGCAGCAGAGCTCCAGACCACAGCCCACGTCCAGGGTTCCAGTAAGGGACCTGGCTCGGTTTTAGTATGTAGACTTGACGTGACACTTTACCACGGTGGTGCTGAGCTGCTCTCTCACAGTAAAATACAGTCGGTGGGACAGAGGATGCTCTACAATCACCCACCATCTCGGTCTTATATTCATCTCTTAAGCTATTCACCCTAAATATTACAAACCGCTTCTCAAACATGAGCCAGGACGTGGTTAGTCGGGATGGGAATGTTTGGGAATCTGATGACTCCATTTGATTCAGAGTCTTGATGTCATTGGTGTTGATTCAATACTGTGAGCCCAGCCATGAACTCACCATGTCCCCGTCTGACCGACAGAGAAAGCAGAGAGAAGGGAAGATGTATAACAAGTTACCTGCATTCTAGGGCTGGGCCATTAATCTATTTTATTTTATTTCATTTCAATAACGATTTTGGCTTCCAACGTTTATGAAAAACCGATAGTCGAGATAAAATCATTATTGTGTTACGTTACGTTTCTCAATGACGCTCCAAAGTCATTTTTAAAACCAATCAAATCTTTTTTTAAATCAATATTTATTTGTCAAATGATTATTCTTTGGACTTGACTTAACACTCGCTATGCGTTATCTCTAACGTGAAGCACATCCATATCCACAATGCTCTACATCACCCATGGACAGAAAGCAAAAAAAGTACGTTTCCAAAAATATTGAACGATAGTTCAATGTTCAATGACATCAGCTCCTAAAACACAAAAACCACGAATTGGAATTTTCGAAAAAAAAACATGTTCAACTAGTGAGGCGTTTTTGTGGGACTAAACCTCCAAAACTGATACAGATGGGACGTGTTTCTCAATGTGGACTTTGTCTACGTGTGGCTTTTTAATCCACTAGTGTAAAAAAAAAAAAAGTGTAAAAATCTGTGATGATTTCAAATAAGTGTCTGAAATGTATCCAGCTGAGAGAATAATGAGTGGGGGGCCTTAAATCCTCCCCGTCCTTATTTGGAAATCTCTCTTCCAGTCGCTGCTGCACATTGCACCCGCTTATCAGTACGTGTGTGTGTGTGTGCGAGCAACCCCTCCAGTGGTGTGTCTTCAGCTGCCTCACACAGGAGGATCTGGATTCCATCACTAGGGTTGCACTCAGCTTTGATATTCGAAAGAGGAGCAGGCTTCCACTACGCGCACGACACTGCATGTTTTCAAAAATTCATGACAACCCTCAAAACAGTTGGTGTCAACCTGCTGGTGGCTCTACAGTTGAAGTCTGGTGGTTTTGTTGACCCGGTTGTGCTGGTTTGGTTCGTCTCTCTGGCCTAAATGAACGGAGAACAAATTCTCTCTCTCTCTCTCACAAACAACGGCAGGTGACATAATAATTTGAGGGAGGCAGGGGGTGAGAGATGATGGAGGCCATTCACTCATGTACAGTATGCGGCCCCCGGGGCTGGCTGCTAATGAGCGCAGGCCCAATTCTGGCTCAGCATACACACAACAGACCCCCCCCCCCCCCCCAGCTACATTGTTAGGCTGTGGTCTGTGGAATGAAGAGCACAGTGTAGTCGGCCCCTCGGCTACACTGTTGAACTTCATTCAGACGTCCAAATGACTCGTTACACGTTCTCGTACCAGGACCTGTTATTTAGGTGAATGATTGATTGAAATGGACAAAGCTATGTAAAAAAGCAATGTTTTGTCTGTTTATCTCTTGTTCATGTTGCAGGTAGTTCAGGTTAGCCACCAACTAACACTTTTATCAATTATTTTTATCTTTCTATTTTTAAAGTACAAATATGGCAAACAAGCGTTTACACTTGGCTGAGGCGGAACAGTTGGTCTGTTGATGAAGAGAAAGGAGCAATGGAAACTAACATGATGATGCATGAGTCATGTGTATGAAGGCAAATCACTGTCAAAATTAGAGAGCGCAAATGAGATCCATGCGCGCGCGAAAATCAAACAGCCGCGCACGTATTTTACTTTTGACGAGCGCTTTTACGTCACTCTGCGAGCAGAATTCACTCTCTTTTACCTGCTCGCGCGCGAGTAGTTTTTCTTTTTGACAGTAAGTGGGCGGACCCTGTCGCCATTGTATTTCTACATCTAATTGGTTACAATCCAAGGGTGTAGGTTTGGTCTCAGCATTGGTAGGGACACTGCCAGTCCCCCCCATCTAAAAAAGTCTTAGTTGATAGCAGGGGTGTTTCGAGGATTCAAAGATTCAAAGAAAGGGGGGGCTTAGCCCCAAGGGGAGTGGCATGTTTGCGCGCAGCAACAGGCAATTTTTTTTAGGGCCCATTTGGAGCTGCGGATATCCATTGTTTCAGACAGTTCATAGATTGGTTCAATCAGAAAGAGAGTGATTTTGCTCTGTAGTTTTGCTTGCATTCAGTATATGATAACACAAGAGACAGAATTTGAGGGTCATAGTGAAATTTGACAACACAAATATGAACTTTTCTCAAATAAAGAATATCCGCGTCACTCCCAAATCCTAATTGTTAAAGGGACCGCACACAATGGATGGAGAATGGACCTGACAGTGTCAACTTTATATCGTTAAGTATGATGATAGGCTATTGGATTGTAATTTGAAGCGGGAGAAAACATACAAACCAGAACGCATGCACATATGTAGCATGTTAGAGTTATAAATAACTTGTCCATGTGAGAAACAATAGTTTAATTTAAATTAAAAAATTAAATCTGCAGCACTTAATAGGCTACAAATAAAGTGCTTTCCTCCTTTATGCAATTATTAGTAGTGCTGGGCAACGATTACAATTTTTAAATCGCGATTAATCGCATGGATTTTTTGTGATTAATCGCATGGTTATGGCAAAGTTCAATAATGAATTCAAAAGTAGTGTATTGTGCACTTTTATTTTAAAAGTACTGCTATATGGACAAAAGGGCAATAACATTTGGTTTGCAAACACTTTAAACAAATAAGGTGCTTTTTAACAGCAGTATTCCCTTTACACAGTAGCAGTTCTACCTCTTCACTATCTCTGCTCAGTGTGTGACTGTATGTGAAACGTTCCACTGCTGTGAAACAGGAATAAAGTGTTTCAGCACAAATGTGTCTTCATGACAGTCAGAGCATGTGAATGCAGCTCTACTGTTCATCAATATAATGCTGTAACTCAGAGGTGATGATGGTTACCCAGCGATCAAAGAATAAAGACACTTTATGCACAATTTAGGTGTATTTTCCCTTTAACTCACGAGATGCAGGTAGCATGTTTTATACTTAATGTGAATATAATGCATACTTTGTTGGCATCTTATTCTGAAAACCGGATGTTCGTCTGAAGAAACCGGATGTTGTCTCACGTTAATCTTTCCGCTAACTTTCAAAGTCCTTCGCTCGCTCCCGATCTGTGCCGTTTGAATGCGTTTACCGTGAATGTCAGCATATAGGAGCACTAAAAGTGTAAGTGTCTGCTGAGTTGACCACGGAGATCTAAGTGTCTGCTTATTTTTTCTAACAGGCAATTAAAATTAACAAAATATTGGTGGGGACAATTGCGTCTTTCCCAAACTTTGGTCGTGACTAGTCCCTATGGACCCTATGCAAACCTACGCCCTTGTTACAATCCTCGTCTTGGGTTAAACCGGATATCACTCTGACGCAGACGCTCGGGGGAGATTTTCAGATTGCAGGTCAGGGGCAAATAATGTACATTTTACTGCACGGGTACTTTTACTTTCTGCACTTAAAGTAGATTGTGCTGATAATAACATTGACTAAGGTTTTGAATGCAGGTATTTTACTGGTAGTGGATTGTTTGATCAGTATGGTGTTAGTACGTTTACTGCAGTGAAGGATCTGAATACCTTTTCATCCACTAACTACTTGTCAGTGATTAATATACAAACAGTGGTCCCTAATCTTGGCTCCAGATCTTTGAGCAGGTCCAAATTGTTGCTCATATTATATACAACTATATTATATCTCTTCTGTAAACACAGTATGATTAAATATGATCACATCATGTTTTAATCAATTAAGATCAAAGAGTTTCTTTGAGCTGTTTGTCACAAGAGGTTTGAGTATCAAACACACATTGTCTGTAATAGAATGGAGTGAATTTAAACCAATCTGAGCAACTTGACTTTAACACATTTTTAATTATTGTATTTAACAACTCTATTAACATAATGTGTATGATGTGGTGTAAAAAGTTTGGTGTGAACCAATGGCGGCCAGCTGGTGAGCATCTATGAGCGGATCTAGAGGAGTATCTGCTCTGTGGTGGAAAACATTGTGGTTTATGTGGAGTGGATCAATCAGAGCTGGGAATGCAACACATTCAAAGTTTCACGCAATGTTGTACAACTTCTGTACAGGCAACGATGTCCGTTTCATATTGGATCAGTGTCAGGTTGGTTGTTTGGGCTTGCTGTTAACTAACTAGCAGACAAATAAATCCTCCTTTGATGAATGAAATACATAAATCAATGGTTGAAGTCTTCAAACCATAGATACACATGCTTGCTATCTAATCATGACAGGTACAAATAGGATTACTAAAATATTATATATATTTTTTTATCTAAAGGTTCACTGGGGTGTGAAGTTATAATGAGATTACTATAGGAACAGCAGCGTGCATCGTCTTGACCACTTCTCATCATGAAGTTTTTAATGAAGGTTGAACAATGAAGGGAAAATATGTTTTTTGTACTTTTTGTTCCCCAAATGTATCATTTAATTTGCCATTATTTACTATAAAGTAAACTCTGGGCTGGTTTGATGGTCTACACAGTATTAACCATGATAAGCTCGTACTGTACAAATCATTTCTGAAACAAACGGATCAGAAATGATGCAGTTTCTTGTTCTTTTATACTTCCAAGTACCCAAAGCTACTTTTCTAAAAATGACCAATTTAGCTTCCATTTAGAAAGACTAGCGCAGTGGTTGTTTGGAATGTGTGTTGGTTCAGAGCAGGCTGAAGTGCTGCTTGAGAACCGCCCGTTGAAGCTTAGTTTATGCTCGTTGCAGTGAAGCTGAAGTGAGGCGCGCTGGCCACAAAATGACGTCATCACGGCCTTTTCTCATCTAGGTGGTCGCTTGGTCGTACACCTCTGAATTTAGTAACTTGGCGCGCCCGATCACGTGACTGTCACAAATATTCACTGATAAAAACACTATTTACATGTCTAGGGATTATACAAAGAACGACAATTGGTTTTTAATGCTTTGGAAACAGGAGGTCTTAAAAATCTATATTTGAGTAAATATTTTGCAGCCAAATCAAACAGTTTACAGGATATTCAGCCTTTGTTTCTTTCTAATGCTTTTAATACTTGACTTGTGTCTTTACAGGACTTGTACAAAGGTAATAAAGTAGACCATGAATATGAGATATAAGTTTACAGATAATTACAATCCCTGCAATGTGGAGGTTTGCCGGTTACACTCCGTGTCTTTTTGATTCTTCACAGTTCATTCTGCCTTTGTGTGTGCTCGGGGCTCATTGCGCCAGTATAAACAGTTTGGTTGTAAAGTGAGTTTGTCCAGCATCCGGCAGCTGAAGTGAACTGCGGTCAGTGACGACATGCTCGACTATGTCTGCTGAGCAGTAGATCAGATGAACGCTTCTCGAGATATACGAAGGAAACTCTCTCTCTCTCTCTCTCTCACACTCACGCACACACACCTTGCTTTATAGATAATTTTTTTAATGAGTGCTATGTTAAGATGACATTCAGCATCTTAT